GGCCAAGAGCAGGGCCCAGCTGGAAAGGGTCCAGAGGAATTCACAGCAGGAGCCGAGGGCAATGACAGAGCTGATGATTAAGGGTGCTGTAGGCTCCCCTGTGGCACGGTCCCAGGAGATTGACATCAGCTGTCAGTGGCTGATGTGCAGCTCCGGGTCTGGACCTCCACACAAGTCTCCTTCTGCTGTTTGGGTTCCTATGGGAATAAAGTTTGATGGGGCAGCTGAGGCTAAGGCAGTCTTGACCCACTTAGACTCATGGTTGTTTTCTGACCCACCTGGGCCTCTCGCTTTCCCATGTAAATCATAAGACTGCAGGAACCCTCATTCTGAGGGTCTGCCAGGACATGTGTTCAAGGCTCCGCACAGCAGCCTACAGGACACATACCTTCCCTGCTACCACTGCTGCCCTGCAAAATACAGGTACCGGCTCTTGGCGATACAGGCAGCTTCCCAGAAGCAGGGCTGTGGTTTGATCCATTTCTGCCTAACCTTGCAAGGCTGGCAGGTGGCTTCTCATGAGTCTTGGGGGAGTCAGGGGAAGAAAGAATGAAGAAAGACAGATTTACTCTGTCCCCAAGCCATAGGGAAGGCCTCAGTGAGTAGTCAGGGAACCCAGGAATCAGCATTCTCCCAGACCATCCATTCAACAGGCATTTTCTTGGTGACAGTGTATATGTGAGATCTTAGCATTCAACCCAACACAGATACCTTGTGTAAGATGACAATCTGTATAAATTTTTAATACAAAACATGATACTTAAAAGCAGTTTCACGCCAGGCAACCCCTCCAGATCAAACCTTCACACCTATCTATACTGTAGCACTCTTGGGACCCATTCAGAGATGTGTTTGCCATCTAAATCTGGTGTGGGAACCGCAGCAGTTTGGAGGGGAAAGTCACAGGATGAGAGCTGCCTCTGAGGTGGCAGAACACCATGCCTGGAGCCACGCTCTGATTATACTGCCGGCAAGACAAAAATCAAAGGGAGCTCATTCTGAAGACAGCTCACAAAGCCGTCTCTTAAGAAGCGATAAAGAGCCGCTCAGCCTGTAATTGTTATTAAAAGCTCTCCTAATCACATTCCCACTTTCCAGCGAAGCCATCCATTCTCCAACAACAGGGAGTGGCTCGCACAGGTGTCCTGCAGGAGAGGGCCTTAGCAGCCCACACCACAGTCATCGTGGGGGCAGCGGCCAGATCCTCCCTTCTTAATCTCCTCACAAACGTGTTGTATGTTGTATGAAGCTCTCGGTTCTCAGGCTGTATTAGACTCTCAGGGGTTCTAGAAGGTTCTAGCTAGCCTTGCAGTGTCCTAGTCCCTGCAAAGGATGGGGTCACAGTAGGTCCTCCGCCTGTATCTAGCTTGGAAAAATCATTCTGTCCCCAGCACCAGGCTTCAGCCTGGTGTATGGTCACACCTTCGCCTGGATCCATGTGTGGATGGCTTGGAGCCTGACAAGGAGGCGTATGGAGACCTAGCTGCCTCCTGCAGAGAACCTAGATGGCTGAGTTGTAGACAGAGCCACGTTGGGATTGCTTCCCTAGCGGACACTCTGCCCATGGGGTTTCTGGGAGAAGGACAGCAGAGGCCGAGCTATCAAAACCAAAGGGGGGGCAATGGGCAGTCTTCAGTTTATACTCCTTACTTACACATGGGGAAAACAAGGCCCAGAGTGGTACCAGACAGCACAAGCCAGCAGACTGAGCCTGGAATATGGTAACGACCTGCCGTTTTCCTGCCTCTGGCAACATGGAACTGAGCTGAGCTAGACTGGCCTGGGTTAGCATGGACTCAGGGAGCCCAGTAAGCCTGGAAGAGTTCAGGCTACCCCTCCCTAGCAGGGCTGATTTTTGTCCCTTTTGAAACTGCAAGTGCCTCACTGCCCCGTCTCTCATCCCAGAGGTCTGCAGAGGAAGCCACAATCCTGAATGGGAACCAGCCTGCATAGAGGGTCCTTCCCAGAACTCTCTCCTGAGCCCACATTCCATTAACATCACAGCTTTCTGTTGTACAGGCTGCCCCAGAGGCTTAGAGGGGCCAAGGTTGTGCCTCCAGTCTATGCTGGAATCTTAGGCCTAACTTCACTGCTCCCTGCTCAACCTCCCTGGGAAGCCCTCCCTATCCTCACAACATCTGAAGCTCTCTTGGTTCTTTTTTTTTTTTTTAATATTTATTATCATATGTATATGAGTGTTCTATCTTCATGTACTCTTGCATGCCAGAACAGGGCATCGGATCACATTAGAGATGGTTGTGAGCCACCATGTGGTTGCTGGGAATTGAACTCAGGACCTCTGGAAGAACAGACAGTGCTCTTAACCACTGAGCCATCTCTCCAGCCCACTCTCTTGGTTCTTACTGCCCCTCTTCCTCCATACAGGGTTGCACCTCTGGGGCTGGCCCTTGGCAGAACTGCTGTTTTCTGTTGGCTCATCAAACAAACAAACAAATGACCGACAAAGCCACAGCTGGCCGATTAACAGGTTACCTACTAAATATGTAGACACAATCTGCAGGTTGCCCTGTTGAACCTAACCATACTGGTGCCAACACTGGGACGGCTGATACATATGACTTGGGAAACTCTCTAAGCAAAGTGGCTCTATCTATCTACCAAGCCTGGCCTTCAGCACCTACTTCCAAAGGTCGCTTCTCTCTCACACCATCGCAGCTATCGCAAGAAGGACCCATGGCAGGCACAGAGGCAGGATTCCTGGCAGGTAGAGGCCCCCACAGCTGCTCCCCACAGCATGGGCAGTGTCCTGCCTCCTTAACATAGACTCAAGAGAAGCTGGTTTAAGACTCCTACTACAAGGTGGATGATGGGTAACTCTCACCTTTCCTTTCAGTTCTCTGCCCTGGATTATGGGAGAGCAATGCCTCATTGCTTGAGCAGTTGCAAAGGAAGTGAGGTGGCTTATGTGATGCAGCAGGGAGGGTTCTGGGAAGAGGCAGAGAGAACTAAAACCAACCTAGCATCTTCCTCCCTACCCGCCAAAGCCTCAAGGCCAGGCTGCCCTGGTCCTCCTCAGTAGCCCTCCCACTTCTGTCCCCATTCTGTCCAGGGGGAAGCTTTCACAGTAGCAGAAGTCAAGGAGAGGAAAATACAAACCCAGATGACCTGCTTTAGCAGGCAAAATGGCATCCTGTTAAAAAGCAGTTGAGGGGGCTGGATTTCAGAGCACTGCTGGCTCTTGCCGAAGACCTGAGTTCAGTTTCAAGCAGTCATTAGGTGGCTCCAAACCACCTATAGCTCTAGTTCCAAGGGATCTAATGTCCTCTTCCAGCCTCCACGGGCACCAGGTCTACATATGGTACATATACGGACACACAGGTAAAAACTCATACACATAAAAAATAAAAACAGAAACCAACAAACAAAAATCCCTAAGTTAAAAAAAAAAAGAAAGAAAGAAAGCTGCTGAGTTCTGCGGCAACTCAGTGGGGACTCTGCAGCTCCTGTCCCACCTGGCTGACCTGCAGTGGGAGCTGCTTCAGTCTGTCTAGCTCCACTGTCCCTTGGACCTTTGCCTGAACTACAGCCACCAGAGTACATGGCACCCTCGACAGGAATTCCATCCCATGTTTCCATACCCTCTGCAGGATGCTCAGACACAGGCCTCAGGCCCTAACAGGGCTGCACCTCTGGAGTTGGCCCTTGGCAGAACTGCTGTTTTCCCTCCTTTGGCCCATCAAACAAACAAATGAATGACAAAGCTGCAGCTGGCCGATTAACAGGTTACCTACTAAAAGTCATTCCTTTAGATTTTTAGACCCTGAAACATCTGGTGACCTTGCAGGTAGCAGCAGGAGTATGACCTCTTTACTCCTTGATTCAGTGCCTCTGCTAACACAAAGCACACAAGCACTATGCTTAACTTGCAGAAAAGAATGTTTGTGGCTGGCCGCAGGAGGGCAGGGGTGACGACAAAGTCTGGTTGGCGAGTGTGTGTGTGTCTGTGTGTGTGTTCTGACGGTGTGGGCAGCATGACAGGAATGGAATGGTGAAGGCACCACCCAGCATGTCGTCTTCACACCCATTGCCCCATGCCTCTCTCCCTCTCCCTGTAAAAGCTGCCTCACATATGTGCCTCTCAACACGGAAATCTGAGGAAGAGAGCACCCTTGTCTCCTCAAGGCAAGGCCTCCAATAAACTCCACTTCAGCATCGCCTCCTCTTGTGCACACTAGCCTTCGAGCTGTGAACAGCTGAGGCCGCGTCCAGTAACAAGCTGCTGGGATTTCTCTTTTCCTACTGCCTCTGGGGCTCAGGTGCTGGGCTTGTGGGGAGCACTGTGCAGGGCTTACTCAAGTCTCCATGAGACGTGGGCTACATCCCATTTTCCTACTGGGAAACGAAGGCACAGAGAAGTGAACCGGGGTTTGAACTCTGCTCTGTCTGAGTCCTGTCCTATGATCTCGGAACTGCTTTTCTAGATTGAGTCCAGCATGCGGGTTGTTCTCCCAGCTTCATGCTGGGGTCTCCAGTTGGGCCAAGATACAGCCACACATCTGCAGGCAGGGTCTCCTATGGTCTTTCCTCTTCTACATCTAGATGGGGAGCAAGGACGGGAAATGCAGAACAAGAGACAGCAAGCAACACTGACGTGGAACCAAACTGTTCCCAGAGAGATGACGCCCTAGAGAAGGGCCTTGGAACCGCCTCCAGAGCTCTGAGCCAGCTGGAACTGATTCAGCCGCCAGCCCTGCTGACTCTTCTCCCTGCCTGCTTGCTGGATGTTGCCTCTGGGACAGGAGAAGATGGATGTGCCCTAGATAAGCATGCAGGCTCTCTACCAAGAGCCCACCTGATAGCTTCAAATAGCTTCAAATACACTCATCAAAATTAACCAAAGCGACAAGAGCTGGAAGGGGGGGGTGAATACCTCACACCAGACCAGTGTCCTGAAGCAGGAGCAGACCAGTGGTACAGGCAGCCGTGGAGAGCCAGATCCCAAGGGGCTGGCCACCCTGGGCTGGCACATACATACCTACCTTTCTTTTATTAGCTGGGCAGATATAGAAGTTGTCGATGACAGTGGTGACACCAGGCTGGAGAGTAAGCTTGGTGTAGGTTGTCCCAAAATCTGAGGACCTATGAGAACAGAGAGACAACTGTGAGCTCATATCCTCCAGGGGTAGGCAATCTAGCACCATGCTGTGTCAGCACAGGTAGAGCTGAGATATGGTCCTCTCCATCCTTCCAGGAGCATGTCCCCACCCAAAGTACAGGCAGGAGCCCGGGTTCCCTTGCAGACAAGTAGGTTTGCTAAGGTCTACAGCCCTGTCTGGAGTGAGGACTAGAAGTCAGAACTTTTGTTATTGTTGTTTTGGTTTTTGTTGTTGTTTGTTTCGTTTTGTTTTTGAGACAGGATCTCTCGGTGTAGCCCTGGATATCCTGGAACTCATTCTGTAGACTAGACTGACCTTGAACCAGGAGATCCTCTTGCCTCTGCTTCCCAAATGTGGGGATTAAAAGCATGTACCACCACCCCTTTCAGAAGCCACAACTTCTTGACCCTTCTATCTCTATGATACTTCACAAAGCCCCAAAGAGCTATACTGTTTTGTTCATTTTACAGAAGAGCAGTAGGCACTGAGAGGACAGTGTCCTGTATGAGACATCCCTCAGCTGACAAGCAGCAGACTTGAAGTTCAGATGCTGGCCCGTCCGATGCCAGGTCCCAGCTGGTTCAGTATGGCCACTGACTGACCTAAGGCCCCTCTGCTCTCATCCTCTCAGCCACTGCCTTCTCTGAATGCTCAGCTCCTCCAGGAGCATCCAGGCCCATGCTGATCACAGGGCCACAGGATAACAGAGGAAAGCTTGGTACCTCTGAGAATCAGACCCCAGAATCTATGCTACCAGGAGCTAGCCCAGTGAGCTCCTGTGGGAGTTTAAGCTCCCATAATTCCACACCACCTCCATTAAGTCCCCCCAATCCCTGTCCCCGGCTCCTTTCCTCTTCCTTAAAGTGAGGAGATGTAGGAGGAAAGTCCCAGTATTTCACTCACTACTGAAGCCTTCAGGCCAACAAAAACAAGAGGGAGAGGCATGCCCTAATCTTGTGCTTTAACCCACTGGCACATCAGACAATGGAACTGCCTCTTCACTGAAGTGTAAGTCACAATGGCGGCCTGTGATAACGTGTGGGACCTTGGACTGGAGAGATAGCTCAGCAGTTAAGAGTACTTGCTGCTCTTCCAGAGGACCTGAGTTTGATTCCCAGCTCCCATATGTAACTCTAGCTCGAGGGGTCCAATGTCTCTGTTCCCCTTGGGCACCTACACTCATGTGCACAAATAATCCCCATGCAGATCCACACCTACACACCAATTAAAAATAATAAAAATCCATATGGAATATGTGGGAACTGCAGACTATGCCAAGTGCACTGGGGCAGTAGGGATGTATAGGGACTCTGGCTGTGGTGAATGTTTGTGCCGAAGACCTCAGTACCACATGGAGCCTGGGCTTGAACCCTGGCTGTGATGCTGTCTGCCACCTGTACTTGCTGTGTGAGCTCAGCAGCATCTTCCCATTCTCTGGGCCTACAGAGAAGCTGGAGGAGGCCAAAGCTTCTTGCTCTGTGGCTGAAGTGAGGCCATGACACCTTAGTGTAAACACTCCACCCCACAGGAGCCTTCAACCCCCTTCCTCAGTCTACACTCACTATTCCTGCAGAGTTAGCTCCTCCCTGGATCTTCAGGTGAAGCAGTTCCAGGAAGATGGCTGTGTTTACTGTCACTGGGCTTGGTGGCCATAGGTCCCCAAGGTCCTTTATAAACCTCAGGGTCACAAGACAAGAGACAGCCCACCCCCATCTTCTGATTCTCAGAGTTGCCCAGCAGGGGTAGAGTCCCTAGGGACCATCTCGCTACTTCAGGCTTTCCTGGGAGGACTGGAGCAAGAGAACAAAGATGACACCATGAGCCCGCTGTCTAATCAGGGCATATTTGCTCTCCAAACCGCAGAGAATTGATTTTCATTGGTAAGGGGGAAGTGAGAGGCCCCATTAGCAGAAATCGATCCACACGCCCCGGAGCCCTGTAGAAACAATGGTTGTTTATAAGCTCAGTGCCCGTAGCCTAATGCAGCTGGGTCCTCCCTGGATGCACTTTCCAAGACCTGATCCTGTACCCCACCCCTTCCCTCTTTCTACCAACTGCCTCAGCTCCAGTCCAACAACTACCCCAGCCTCTTCCCCATCCTCTTCACTATAGGAGCTGCCCTAGCTGTGTAGTCGAGGGCTCCTGTGGACATGGGATAGCCACGGGGAGCAGCACCTAGTGACTACCCCTGTGGTCCAGGATACCTGTCAAGGGAGGGAGATGGGAAGATGCTAAGGAAGGCAGCAAAATGCAGTCACACCAGAAGAAGAATAGCAATGTAGGACCAGGGGGACCCAGTACCAGTGGGGTTCCTGGGTCATAGATATGTATGGATAAAGTGACACATGCACAGAGACCTGATGGGAGAAGGGAAAGGCTGTGCCTGCTAGGGAAAGGTACCTGCCTCTGATTGAACAGTATCTTTGAAAATACATCAGCCAAAAGCATGAGAGAAATGCTGATCTCACAGGTGTCATCATCAGGATTAGATGAGGCCACGCTGGAGGGTCCACATGAAGACAGAGGAAACTACTGGAGGGCTACAGCCCCCAGGAGCTGAAGGGAATGGAAAAAGGTTCTCTCCAGCAACATCCTCCCCCCCAAAGGAACTAGCTCCAAGATGCTGCCTCATCTCAGGGTTGGAACTTCCAGGACAGCAGAGGGGTCACTTTCAGTCCCTTAACATCATGCAGCATCCACAGGACACAGATGTGGCATTCCAAAGAGAGAGGGGAAGAAAGACAGAGACACATACATAGGGTAGAGAGACAGACAGACAGACAGACGGTGATGGAGGAGAGACAGATAGAAACAGATGGAGACAGAGAGAAAGGACACAGTGATTGAGACACAGACCAGGGATAGACAGACAGACAGTCAGGGCAGAGACATAGGGAGAGATATGCTGAGACATACAGATAGAGGAGAGAGTAGAAGAGTCAGACAGAAAAATAACGAGGTGGGTGGGGGATACAAGGAGGCAGCGCTGCAGATGAAGGTCCAAGGGACCCTGGGAAAGGCCAAGGGATTGTTAACAAGGACACCCGCAGTACCTCAGACCCAGCTGCCTTGCTTCTCATCTTACCCTGCCCGAACTGCTGACTCCCAATCCCCACATTCCATCCAGCATCTCCCTGCCCCTGGCCGGGCCCTTCCTGTCTCCATGCCTTGAGGCGTTCCACTGGGCAGAGTGGAGGCATTAGGGGACACGACATGGCAGGCAGCCTTCCTCAGAGGATGTGAGTATCCTAGGGCTGATGTAACAAACTCCCATCACAGTGCACAAAACACGATAGACTCAAAAAGTTCAGAGAAGTCAGAAATGGGGATTTGGGGGCTAAAACTGAGATGTTGGTCTCTTCTGGAAGCTGAGAGACAGCCTATGTCTTTGCCTGGTCTGCCCTGTAGGGCAGTGGTTCTCAATCTGTGGGTCATGACCCCTTTGGGGATTGAATGACACTTTCACAGGGGTTGCCTAAGACCATCGAAAAACCCAGATATTTACATTACTATTCCCAACAGTAGTAAAATTAGTTAGGAAGTAGCAACAAAATAACTTTATGGTTAGGAGGTCACCACAGCAACTGTGTTAAAGGGTCACAGCATTAGGACAGTTGAGGTCCCTTACAATGCTAGGCTGTGAGCATCTTTGAAGCCCAATCCCTGGGCTCTGTGTCTATCCTGATCGTCAACCACCCCTGAACAAAATTCCTCCTTTCCTGGTCCCTGCGATGACAATCCCAATAGTCACCCTCAGGAATGCTCAATCCCACATGCCAAGTCCCTTCCACAAGGGAGGAAACATTTGTACAGGCTCCAGGATTAGGATGTGAATTTATGAGTAACACCACCCTGTTGTCACTAGTGGGCATTTGATCCGGGTCTGGGGTGAGTGTAGGAGTGAGGTGAGAACAGTGCACAGTGGCTGGTGGGCTGGGGTGGGCTCCGGGGAACAACCAGGTCTGCAGCAACAAGAATAGGACAGAGAAGAGGTAGAGAGGGCTGGACAGGCTTTCCCGCACTACAGCACTGGCCACTTGAGTCCACAGCACATGGAAAGTGTGGTCCATCTGGCCACGTGGCAGAAAAACTGTAAAACACCGACTTCAAAGGCTCAGGGCTCAGGAAGAACGTAAACTACCTCATTGTCAGTTTTATGCAGATTACATATTGACATACTAATATTCTGGATATATTGAGTTAATTAAAATCATTACTAAAATTAATTTCACCTGCTCCTAGTTTTAGTTAATAGACTTCATTTTATTGCAGTTTCCAAATAACTACAAAACTGTGCAGTAAGCTCGGTTTGCCCACATGCCTGGCTCTACAAACAGCATCTCTCAGCCACTACCCTCAGAGGATACATCTGTCCCATGATGAGCCAACATATATACCATCGTCACAGAGCACATAATTCTGATGAGGGCCTCCTGGTCCAGCAGACCCAACATGACAGGCATCCATCACTGGCATCAAGCAGAATGGAGTCTTTCCATTGCCCTAAACACCCTCTAGACTCAGCCTGCTACCCACTTGGCCTCTAGCCATGGGCGACACTGATCTTTTCACTGTTGCTAGTTTTGCATCTTCTAGAATGTTATGTGGCTAGAGTCCCTCAGCAGGAGCCTTCCTTCCGTCTCTCACCCACAGGCTTAGGTTTCTTCCACATCATTATCACTACTATACTTTCTTTTTGTACTGTGACCACCAGAGCCTTGCACAACTCACATGGCCCCTATTCTTAACATGCTGGGTTCTGGACTTCGGGTCTGGATGCAGGTGAGGTCAGGGTAGGGTCAGCAGTGCCTCCGAGGGAAGGGCAGGGTCTGTGAGAGCACAGTCCTCACCTGAAAAATCCTGTCCCAGTGGGTCAGCTGAGTGGCCATGTGGCATGCACCTAGAGGGTACCTGGTTGCAGCATGCATCTCACCAGCTTTGTAACTGCCGCACAACATATTGTGTTGGGATGACCACTGTGGC